TGCCGCTAGACTCTATCAGCATGCCCAGGACTTTGATGGAGTCGACCCTCTTGATGGCATCCCCTTGATTTGTACGGAGGTGGATGTCTATCTGGTTTAACGGCTTCCATCCCCTGGGCTTCGGTCCCCGGCGTGCAGTCCGATACAGTAAAAGTTCTGACTTACTCGAGGAGCACTTGAGCCCAGAAGGACGAAGGTACTCTTCTACGGTATCAATCGCCTCTTGCAGGGCGCTCTCAATCTGCCTCTCGCTTCCGCCTGTGCACCAGAGGGTAATGTCATCTGCGTAGATGCTGTGCTTCAATCCTTCAATGCTCGATAATTTCTTTGACAGTCCAATCATGGCAATGTTGAACAGCATTGGTGAAATCACTGCCCCTTGCGGCGTGCCCCTTGCTTCTAGTTCGATTGCTGCGGTTTCGATATCAGCAATCTTCATCACGGCTTTCCGATCTGTAAGAAAAGACCATACGTAGTCATAGAAGGCTTTCCCCAGACCAAGCTTAGAAATTGCTTCGAGTATGAATGAGTGGTGGATGTTGTCAAACGCTTTTTCTAGATCTAGGCACAGAATGGCTCTCACGTCTCTGGTTTTGTTGTCGATGACCTGGTGCCTGATAGGCTTCAATGCATCTTGTGTGGATAGCCCTGCCCTGAATCCAACCATATTGTGTGTATATATGTCGTTATCTTCCAAGTACTTGTTTATCGTGTGCAGTATGGCATGTTCTGCAACCTTGCCGATACATGATGTCAAGGATATTGGCCTCATGTTGTCCAAGTTAGGGGGCTTTCCTGGCTTAGGAATAAGGATCGTCCTGGCCAGCTTCCACTGCTCTGGCACCCTGCCTTCTTTCCATGCTGCATTGATCATATCTTTCAGGGTTTCAATTGAATCGTCATCAAGGTTACGAAGGGCCTTGTTTGATATACCGTCCAGGCCAGGGGCCGACCTGCCGTTGAGATCATGCAAGGCTCCTCTGATCTCCTCGATGTTAAAGTCACCCTCAAGACCATGATTGGGCCTGCCCCGGTACTGTCTACTTGGTGGTGCCAGTCCTGTTTTGATTGGGAGGTACTTATGCACGAGCCGCTGCACAACTTGCTGTTCTGTAGTGCGCCCTAACTCTTTATGCAAAATTCGAGCGATAGCATGCTTTTGATTTGTTTTGGTGGTTTTTCCGTTGAGGAGATGCTTTAACATATTCCATGTCTTGCCATTGCGCATCTGACCATCGACGGAGTTGCAGATCTCGTCCCATTGCTGCCTGGATAGTGCGCGACAATGTTCCTCGACTAATCTGTTTACCTCAGCTATCTTCTTCTTCAGTCTTCGGTTCAGGCGCTGACCCTTCCAACGGTTCAGTAGTGCTTGCTTTGCCTCAAGAAGATGAGCGAGCCGGCTATCCATTCGTTCAACCGGAAAATCTGTGGTAATGGTGGAGGAGACGGATTTGATGTCATGTTTAATCTGTTTGACCCACTGCTCCAAGCCTTGTCTGTGGCCATCTTGTTCCCCTTCCATCCTTATCTTCCTGAACTTATCCCAGTCTGTGAAGTGGAATTCTCTCTGCTTTTTACGCTCGACGGAGAAGGTAGTGGCAAGAATGCAGTGGTCACTCCCTAGGTCTACAGCAAGGTTCATCCACTGGGCCTTCTTGATGTTCCTTACAAATGTAAGGTCCGGGGTGGAATCCCTGCAGCAAGATGTACCAAGCCTTGTTGGTAGGCTGGGGTCTGTGATTAGGGTGATATCAAGTTCACTGACACTTTGCCAAAGTCGATTTCCTTTCCCAGTGTTGTACTTGTAACCCCATGTATGATGAGGTGCGCTGAAATCACCTGCTATGACGAGTGGGCATTCCCCGGCGATATTAACAGCTTTCTTCAGAACCGTCTTGAACGCTTGCTTTTGTTCCTTTGGACCGCTGTATATATTAAGAATGAAAATGCTCTGACGGTTGCTGGTACCTGGCACGATCTCTACCATGACGTGTTCCAACCGGCCTGCTTCTATCTTGAGGTCGTGGGTTACGTGTGTTAGTTTGTTGCATACGAAGATGCAGACTCCCCTCCCTTCAGTATCCCCTATTACAGGCCGGAGTCCAGGCAACGTTGCTTGCGGTGAAAGGGTCTCTTGTAATAATATAATATTAGGCTTTTCTTGGCTGCTCCTGATATACTGCTGTAGGGCTGCCTTCTTTTTAAGGTAACCTCTAAAGTTCCATTGCCAGATACGAAATGCTTCACGTAGCGCTACCATCATGGTTATTACATGGACGGCCAGAGCCTGATGCTGCACCTGTCGACAGGTTTGGTACCACTAGTATTGGTGGCCGAAGGGGTGAGTTTGGTGCATGAGGAGGCCTTGCTGTATTGTGCATATATGCTTCGACCTTTGTAATGCGCAAAGTCATATGCTCTTCCAGTGCCGCCACGCTTGACTGTAGCCTACCCATCTGCTCGCTAAGATTGGCCACTACTTTGCTGAGCGTGTCAAAGACCTCTTTCATATCTGACATGGTCGTTTAATTGGCTTCCGCGTGTTCTGCCATGACTGCCCTCTTTTTTGTGGTTCTCGAGTCCCCCACGTTTTCAGCCACAGGGACATCAACTGGCTGAGGCATTGGCTGTGAAGACTGCGCGCTGGTTAGCTTAGTGGGAAGAATTTTTATTTCCTTTAACTCAGCTGATAGCCTCTCATTCGATTTTGTAAGTCTCGTGTTTTCTTGCTCTAGCTGTGCAATTTTATCATGCTCTGGCAGCTTACCTGTCATCACCTCTGCCGCGACGTTGCGCACTCGCTCAGCCCAGCTGCCTTTTGATGAAACTGGCGTCCTCCCCGGGTGTGAAGCCGTGATCTCGAACTGAACGCCAGGCAGCTGGCCATTCGGGTGGCGCCCAGGCTGATCCAGGGAAACGCAGTGTTGTCTGGGTAATGCATCGGCGCTAAATGAAGCATGTCGAATTTCGCAACGGTTGTCATCAGGCCGCGCCGACGGAGGCTGTTGGCGCCTTGCGTCAGACTATACAGACTGCTCGCCTTTTGCTAACGTAAGGTTGCTGTGCCCAGCGTGCGCGTGCGTCAACGCTACATCGGAGTATTGTGGGCCCTTCATGATGCGCTCGCGGCCGTTTCGCTAGCTCCACATATACTAAATTTGGGTTTACGTGACGTCAATGGATGACGAAATATATGACGGGTGAAAACATAATCCTGACACGCGTGTCATGTAACAACATGACAACATACCACGTTCATGGCGTGCTCGCGGCCGTTTCGCTAGCTCCACATATACTAAATTTGGTATCATCTGACGTGAATATATGACGAAGGTAAACGACACATCAAAACTCGATAACCATGACACTGAAGTCATGTACGGCATCATTTACCTCCACCTAGTAACGTTGTGCTGATTTTAAAGTGACATATCAACATTTCTTATGCGTGCTTCGCATATCATCGATTCCCGCTGTACGTGGGATCTGCCAAAGTTTGTCCCCGAGAAACGTCAAACCGGGAGTGAAGGCCAAACCTCATAAGCGCGAAAATGCACAGGACAGCGACAAGCGACGCGACGTAGATCGGCTTCGCGCGATCAGTCGCTAGCGCAGGCAAACCTCATTCACGCGACGGCTTCGGCGAGCGAATTCCACTGTTGCTGGCATGAGGCCGTCTACTCGCACCAAGAAAACCGCGTAGCGAGCGGTATGCAATTTAAAAATAAGATATATTGTTGTGTAATGAAACGGAAAGTGTTTATTATTGCCTTGCAGCACTTTTTTATATGCACATGCGTAATAAACATTGCGTTATTTCTTGTTGCGCATACGTGACTCGGGCAGGGTCACGTGCACCTATGTAGTCTTCGTCTTTTCCGGTTTTTCGCTATTGGCTGCTTGAGCCCAGCACTTCCGGGCGATGAGCGACGGTTTCCAAATCTGGAGAACCGAGCGATCGCGCGAAAACGAGCACGCGACACGTGGCGCGAACGCCCTGTTTCGTCGCTCATAGCGTCGCTCGTCGCTGTCGCGTGCATTTTCGCGCTTATGAGGTTTGGCCCTGAACCGCAGCTTGAAACCTATTCCTGGCGATTATTGACACATCACACTGTTTTAGGCACGCAGTTGCTCGCTTAAAAAATGTCGTAATAAGAGATGAGAAGGTGCATTTGAGTGGATTGCCATCAGATTCTAGAAATTTTCTTCCTCGTGATACCCATTGAGAAATATCAATAAAATCTTGCAGTATAACCGGTAAGAGTACGACGGCTTTTCGGGAACGCACACATTCGCTGCGCTCTAAGATCTGCTGCTATTGTTAAAATTTTTTTTATAATTGCGAGCCTCGTCGTGCACGGGACAGCTTTATGCACTCTCATAGTAAAGTACAAGTATACTCTGAATCGTTAACTATTCGTTCTAAACTCATCAAGTGTGAGGCCCACGGGACGGCGTAATGCTCTCCCGTAGTATAGAGTACCAAGTACTCTGGATCGTGTTACACTTTATTAAACGTGCGCGCAATTCGTAGCCCACAGGCCTACAGCTATTTCGGGGGCAGAATTTTTCTCAAAGGTTTTAAAACTAAGGGACTGCTGCTGCCAACCCGTGTTCGAGAACGCGGAGGTCATGAGCAAAGAAAAAAGCGAAGTAGCACGGGAAATTGTAGAGGCGGCTGCAGTTATCGATACGAAGGAAGAAAGCAGTAGTTGCACATCGATTGTCATAGTGTTTTTAGGCATTAACACGTGGCACTGTTTAATTTTCCTATATTTTGTTGCTCTTGTATAAGCGAATTGGTTGCCCCTGCTGTGCTCTTGATTTTGTTTGTTGTGACAGGCACACATCAAGTGTGTACAACACGTAAGTCGTCTACTGAAAGCGATTCGTCCCGTAATAAAAATTGTTTGAAATTTAGCGCTTGTGTCCTCGCTTTGTGTGCGTGTTCTTTGTGTAACCTGGTGTGCGCTGCCGTTTGCTTAAACGTCTCTTAGGTCCTCTGTAATGTATCCCCAAAAGAAAAAAAAAATGACATTATTTCTCACCTCCGCAGCTCAGAAGTACGACGCATTCTTGGTGTCGAAGCCCGTGCTGGGAAAGTTCAACGCCTACTTCGGCTACGCCTTGGCGGGAGCGGGCAAGGCGCCCCCCTTCGGCCTGTCCGTCGAACAACCCGTGATGGCCGGGGTCGAGGAGGCCAAGAACACAGCCAGGATCCGCAGGAAGGCATGTTGTCACCGCTGTTTCTTAACATCTTAATACACGTGAAAGGGCCCCGAACAACGTATACAAACCATGAGCGCGATCTTCTCTGGTGTCGTTGTCGGTCTTTCCGGCTCAACTGAGTTCAGCAGTCCGGTCTGTCCACGTAGCGTCGTGGGAAAAGAAGACGTAGATTGGTCCATACACGAGAGATGGCTGTTACAGATTGTCACCTACCCATGCTTCGTCATGCACCCGAACGCCCGTGTGACTGCGTGACATCGTTTCGTGCGTCTTCGACCACGCAAGCGGAGATAACAGCCTGTAGCTGGAAAGCGCCACAATCTTGCGATGTTTTATTGAGAAATCAGTGGCGAGAAGGAGATAGCGCCTGAAAAAAGGGCAACAAAGGCTAGAAAAAAAACTTCGGTCTTTTTTTTTTTTTTTGAAGTAGAATTGGTTTAGGAGTTTTAAAGCGCTGCAGCGCTCACCATTGCTTCAGATGCCGGCCACTGCCTGTATGATACATGTTCATTGAACTGGTTTAACAGCCGAAAGGTTGCATCGTCTCCTTTAAATGGCCCCGAAACCACCTCCCATATTTCTTGCAACATTTCAAGTGAACACTAATTTATTTTATATCCTTATATATCTATCCTCTTTCCGACCCTTTTCCCCACCCCCGTACAGGGTAGCAAACCAGTTCGTCTAGGTTAACCTCCCTGTCTCTTCCTTTTATTTCTCTCTCTCTCTCTCTCTCTCTCTCTCTCAAGTGAACACGCGCATCATGCACAGAATTCCGTCACGATCAACAATGCCGCGCGTGACAGCGCTATACGAGCCGACGGTGCGTCACAAATTCGAAGAAACGATGCCTCCTCCTCTCCGGGCCTTTCCGGCCTCTGTGTGACGTCGACAGGGTGAAATCTGACGCGCGGCGCATTGCCTCTGTGATTGGTCGGCCAACCGGTTAGTCTAGCCGCCGTGCTTGTTGTTCGTCGTGTTGCCGGCGTGCGCCACATCCCAGCAGCACACGATTCTCCTAGCCATGCGCACACAGCACATGCACCTGTATGTCATTCGAGAGTGGGAAAGAGGGGACAGTAAACGTCTGGGTAAAGACGGATAGGTAAGAGAGCGAGGTCAGGAGTGCACGATAACTGTCTCTCACGTGAGGACACCTCAACCAATACACTCACGGGGAAACGGGTACTGAAGGTACAGTAAAATGTAGTGTAGTTAAAGTGAAGAAAAGAAAGTATGGTAAAAGAGGAAAGAAGCAAAATACCAGGTAAAAAAAAATTAACCGGGACGAAGGGGAGGAGGTAACTCAAGAAAAAAAAAAGAAAACTAGCGTGATAGGAATAGGAGGACAAACACCCGGAGGGGCCCTCGGCGATTAAGCTCATTTCTCGAAGAAGGGGAATGACCTGATAATTTGGGCAAGCAAGCCACGAGTCGGCGCTTCTGGTGGCTTTCACGTGTACCATGCCCCGCCGCGGTGGTCTAGTGGCTAAGGTACTCGGCTGCTGACCCGCAGGTCGCGGGTTCAAATCCCGGCTGCGGCGGCTGCATTTCCGATGGAGGCGGAAATGTCGTAGGCCCGTGTGCTCAGATTTGGGTGCACGTTAAAGAACCCCAGGTGGTCAAAATTTCCGGAGCCCTCCACTACGGCGTCTCTCATAATCATATGGTGGTTTTGGGACGTTAAACCGCACAAATCAATCACGTGTACCATGCTACAATCATCACCTGGTGTGGCTGACCGGTGACGTCAAAGAGGACGATGCAAGTGGTTTCAAGCCACGCTGCCAATGCGTTATTGCACCAACGGGGGGAGCGTGTATGTAATGTATGTACTTACAATGTATACTAATGCATGTACTTACAACTATCAACGAATACGTGGCTATGGTGAGTGGAGCGAAATGCCACATATGATTAGGAGTGCTGCTGCAATGTGCAGAATAAAAAGCCAATTCATCGCCCCCCCCCCCCCCCGCCTTCTGCTAATTTTTGTAGCGCTCCGATCTGACTGACAATCAGCATTGTTTCTCTTTTTTTATGTTTGTTTATTATACCACCGGTAAGTTCAATTGTTGGATTAGCTTGCACTTGTCGGCAACATACCGGTGTCAGTTTTCAGCGCCTTCAATGAGATCGTGAACGCGACAAAATATTCGTTGCGTAATTAAGCCTCGCCGTGCGATATATTTGAGACGTGAGTGCTCCTCTTCTTACTTATTTGTTAACTTACAGTGCACCCGTCGTTTTCCAGCATCAGTAAGTTCATCGACAAACGCACGCAATGAGCTGCCGTGAGTGCTTGCAAGCACAGGTCAGCTATTACCGAACATCTTAGCTGATGTGGCGGTGGCGCACAGTCCCAGAGGAGGTGTGTTTGTGTGGCTCGCGCCTTCTTGCAGTGTTGGCATATATCTGTGGTGGATACCTCCGGGCAGACGTGCTTTTCCCAGACGGGGGTCCGTATGGCTTGTACTTGCATGCCGTATAGTGTTACTGAACGTTCAAGCACGCTAGTGCATCGCTTTAATTCCCCTATACCGCATCTCCCTTTATGCCGGATCGTCAATAAAGTTGTTTAACTCGCCCATTTGCTGCGACGGCGTACACGAAATCCTCGTCACGAAAGTGCTTTCTGTGGACCCGCCATGTAGCAAGCGTCTTTTCTCATTTTCGGCTTTACCACTCAAGTGTCTCGCATTTGCTTGCACTTGGGCAGTGATGAAAACTTACAGCGCAGTCTCTCGCATACGTTTGGCATTGAGTAGTCGAACAATACACCACCAAGCTGAAGCTGTTTAAAGTCCGCTGTGATGGTAGAACAGTATAACAGTACTCGGCTGGTAACCTGACAGTTGCGTATTCTATCCAGGCCGTGGCGGTCGCATTTCGAAGGAGGCCAGTGAACAGTGCCATGCTAGTGCGCGTTATAAAGAACACCAGTTTTGGTCGAAATGTCCGGAGCGCTGCCCTACAGCATCCCTCAACGAAATCGTATAAAGTTTTCGGAGGTAAAACTTCAGATGTTATGTTGTTACGTGGTAAGCAGACCGAGTCACTACGCAACAATATTATCAGAAGCTGCCTACACGCAACTAACCACTGCTTGTGCTGCTATATGCTTATGCTACTATAGCTGGCGAAATTTAAGTTCGCACTTTGAGAACTGAATGCCACGTGGCGCGATTACACCCGAACGTGGTGGTGGTAGTGGTCAGAAGATGAGAAAGGGCACCTAATTTCTGCAACCCGGTCGGGAGCACGGCGCAGTGCCTACACAACTATACGCAACTATTCCACAACTATACCATGCTGCAAGGCGAGCAGGAGCGTCATATCAGTGACGTCAAAACGATCGCAGCGCCGGCCTCTCTATTGGAGGCCCTCGCAGAGAATAGATACTGACAGTGTCTGCTTTTTATCATGCTCTTACTCTGCATAGTTTAAAATGAAATGCATTTTGTTTCAGTAAATCAGCCAAAAAAGTTAAAAGATATGTTAGCAAAACCTATTATGAGGGAGTTCGACAGAGCGCGAAACAAATGAAAAGTAAACAGTGGTGTTTCTGACGTCACAGAAACGTGCTTGATGGCTGTACAAACGCATTTGTTCAGTAACGATAACAACATCCGGGGTTTTACGTGCCACCCCCGGGCTACACCACTGATCGTTTGTTACTGTTGTTTCCTGTGAATACATATTGCATACACTCAAACAAGCCCAAATCGTGCTATTCGGTGCATTTTCTAGGCTACTTCGGGATCGCCATTCCTTTGACCTACGAAAATAACTAAACATATTTGTCAGTGCACTTTTATCTCTCCTGTTGTGAACACTCAATTCATAAAGTTCGTTGCCTTTTTCTTTGATACGAGAAAATAACTAGAAATAACGGTGTCAGTACACCTTTAGCTCTTCTGCAGTGAACACTGAATTTGTAAAGTTTATTTATTTTTCCTTCACAGCGCAACGAGCTTGTGGTCATCGTGGGTCACGTGACCATGCTACCGGAGCACTTGACGCAGAACGTGAACCGGGTCGTGACACATCTGACCCGCATGCTGACCGAAAATCCAGACGTTGCCGTCCGCTCGGTCTGCATCAAGAGCAGATCGGGACCCAAACTGAAGCTCTGCTGAACTGGCACGCACCTGCAGCGTCTGAGCCGAGACTGAAAGCGACCGTGAAAAGCCCTCCCTGTTCATGTTGTCCGTTCACCGCTGTTTTTTCGCAGGACTTTGTTCTGGATGTGGTGCGCGGCGTTTGGGAACAAGGCGGAAGACTAAAATTCAGGTGCACAGATGCCAGCACATGAACGCTGGAACGGTACGCTTCGGCACGGTCAGCAACGCTCCTGCTCCATGTTGATGACAATAATTTGAGATATTCCACACTTGAGTGCTCATCGTATAAGCGGCCGTGTGTGTTATATTTAGGGCTTTTTAAAACTGGTGAGGTTTGCAGACGTCGTCAGTGCACTACGCAGCGCGCCGTTCCAGCCTCCCACATGGCTGTGTTTGTCACCTCTACACGCGAGGAAAGAAAAGCGAAAGGAAAGTCGTGCTGTTTTCTTTTTCTTTATCATGTGGACATGTGTTGCAATAGGCACTCTTCGTCGAAATTTTACTAAAATATTGACTCTGCGACGGAAAATAAACACGCAGAAGCAAGTGACAAGTCCTGCCACCTTGAAACAGCTCGTGTTTTACAAGCGCGTGCTTTACAGTGATTCGCGCCTACGCCCCATTATGAATGGGAAGGAAGCGAAAAATAAATCCGTCGGAGCCGTAGCTAACCAGGGATCTGCTATGTTTATTTACGCTATCGGTGCTACAGCCTCTAATGCCCCCGCACACTGGACGATTGACCAAACAGTGACAGTAGTTAAATTGCCATTTTCCTCCCGCTCCTCAATTATACAGTCACTATCATCATCATGAGCGCCTGCGGGCCGCCGTTCGGATAACCAGCAGCCGAGACGATGACGGCGAGATTTCATTCATTTGCTCAGTTTTTTTTTTTTTAGAAAGAAAATGTTTATAGGTTGAAGGCACCTAGGGCAGATTACCTCTGCCCGTCTAGGGTCCCTCCACCCATACATTTCACTCATTTACATCAAAGGAGCCCTGCAACACTTTTTTGAGCGTGGTCAGAAAATGCTGCCGATCCGCAGTAGAGCCTGCCGAAAACACGCGAGTGCGTGGCCTGTAATTCAAAATAAATGATCAAATTCAGCTAAATATAGCTCTCTCTTCTCTCGACAAATCACGGAAAATAAGCCCAGTAAGCCCGTCTATCAGCCATTGGCTGATTTGAACATGGCGCGCTCTCGGTTGTTACAGAGGTCGCCGCGAGAGGCCGTCACTTGTCCACGCGTGCACGCGCGATTGCACTGAGAAGCCGCGTACTCGAAAAAAAAAAAAAAAAACTCAAGTTCACGATGCACGAGTGACGTTTTTTGTTTGCCCTTACTATTCCTCGCTTCCCAGCTTCCAGCACTTTCGTCGGAACGAGAGAAGAGAGAATGTGATTGCAGCGTGTGACAAATCTCTGTAACTCCGCTCGTACTGGACGGACTCTTAAAGTTTTTGCGGCGTTCAGTTTGTGAGGTAATACACTCTTTAGGTGAATTAATTCCATGGTTACTCGAAAAGGCGTTTCAGGGCCCCTTTAAAGGGGCCCTGAAACTCTTTGCAGCGCATCCTCTAGCTTCTGGCAAAGGCTTCTCTCAAAAATAGCCTTTCAGTTAATCGAAAAAGCAACTCTCCGTCAACCGAAGGCCACGGTGACAAAATGACCTTCCGCGGAATGCTAGCATGAGCTTTCTGGTATGGTTCTGCAGACGACGCACGAGCGCCTCGATCAAGTAGTCGCGAACGGCACATACCTTTGAAATGAGCTGGGTGTCCAAAACAACAAGTGCTTCACGATTCTCGTTTGTTAAGTTTCCATTATATCTTAAACGATGCGAATACAGCCGAAAACCGAGCCGTACAGCAGCTTCGAATGCAGCCGAGGCATTCGTTTGCGCGAGGAACGACACGGCGGCATCTCTGCACCAGTTGCGGCGCCTGGCGGCGAAACACTGCACTAGCACCGACGGCCGCTTCCCTTTGAAATCCGCTCCTTCGCCCGAGCACTTAAAAAAATAGAGGAGGCGCTGGTACATGTCTAGAAATTCTGGAGATGTGGCTCAATAGGCGCAGCATTCGCACGCCTGCAAATAATTAACTACAGCACATAGAAATAATACTCTCACGAAAATAAGGGGAAAATTCACTCACCACTGTGCCAATACTCTGAATTGGCTTTGAACCACGCTCGGAGCAGCTCGGGGTGCAACAGTAGTTGTACAACAATAGTGTCACTATCATCACCATCCACAACGGACACGGTATTCGAATCATCAGCCGCTGACGACGGCGACGACGCTTTCTTCGGGCGTCGACGACGTCATGTCTTCTTCGGCCAGTGCCTCGGCTACGTCGAAGACGACGTCGGAGAGCGACGAAGAGCCGGAGTACGTGGAACCCAGGCGCCACGTGCTGACGCCCGCCGACATGAAGCGCTGGCTGGAGAGCGAAGCGTACGGCGAGTACGTCGGCTTCGTGCTCGCCCTCAACGAGCGGGTCAAGGGCAAGAAGTTGAGCGACGCCACGTTGCCGGTCTCCGAGGTAGGGACGCAGAACTATATCGATGATACTGCCGCGAACGGCAGCTATTGGCAGATATTGATATTGGCAGCTATTGATAGCTGAGTCACTATCGAAGGTAAAAAAGGTGCGGACAGCTTGCACTACTGGTGAAATGGTGGAATGGCTACGGATCTGGTGACCAATTTAGTCTATTACTAAAGGTCCTAATCAGCAACGTCTTAATCAATGAGACATTCTTTTTGTTGTTGTTGTTGTTGTTGTAGTGTCTCACTTCCACTCGCCCTCCTCGCTTTTCATTTTCAAGTTACGACCCCATTACACGTATATCTCCTGCCTAGCGGTCCCCATCGGTGTATCAGTGGCTGGAGGGTGCTCGGCTGCTGTCCCCAAGGTCGTGGGTTCGTTCCCAGCCACGGCGGTCGCATTTTGATGGGCAGAGGCCCGTGTACTGTGTGATGTAAGTGCACCCTCAAAACTTTTTGAGCCCTATACGCGGTGTCCCTCGCCCTCTTGTCGTGGATTTGGGGCGTAAAAAACGGGATCATAGGGAGCCCTTTGCGTACGGACGCTTTGGTTCACGCAGGAGGGACGAGTTTTCAAAGAGGATTTGCAGCGCTGTGGACACTCGCGCTATTCTTTGTCGATGTCAGTCTAGTCTTGGCCGAGAGCCGTCACTTCAGTGGGTGCCGTCACGTTTGTCTGACCCAAAACTTTTGGGGCAGACTCTGGGGCTCCCGCTAAGTTCGAGAAATAACGTCCCCAACCCGAAACCCAAACGTTTTGCGCATCTGCAGTGACTTTGATGCCCTTTCTTTGGGGCCCCTAAACACTTTTTGCAAGTAACAATAAAATGAATTTACTGAAAGTGCGTATTGACTCAGAAATTCAACGCCGCGACAATTGTAAGAATCCGTCTAGTGCGGTGCGAGGGATTGGATTGGATTGGATAAACTTTTATTTGGTCCTCCAAAACACAGATCACTGTGTTGCGGGCAGCTCCCACGTGGGGACTGAGATGCCGAACTCCTCAGCCGCCTCGCGGGCTTGGTGGACAGCCCAGAACTGATCTGCGGTGCGTGGGGAGTTACAAAGATTTGATTGATACGTGGGGTTTAACATCCCGAAACCACCATATGATTATGAGAGACGCCGTAGTGGAGGGCTCCGGAAATTTCGACCACCTGGGGTTCTTTAACGTGCACCCAAATTTGAGCACACGGTTAAAAAGATTTGTTGCATGCTGCAATTGCATGCTTTCTTCTCTTGCCGCGACGGAAGCGCTGGAAGCTAAGCAGAAAGAAATGGCAGGGGCAAAATAAAAAAAAAAAAACATCGCGCGCATTTTGTGATTTTGAGCACTTTATTATTTTTTTTTCGTATGCGCGGCTTTCTCAGTGTGACCGTGCGTGTACGTGTGGACAAGTGACGGCCTCCCGTGGCAATCTCTGTAACGACCTAGCGCCCCATGTTCAAATCAGCCAATGGCTGATAGATGGGATTTTTACGAGTGCTTTTTGAGCGTCTTCCGTGGTTTGTCGAGAGAATAAAAAGCAATTTTTAGGTTGACTTTGATAATTTATTGTGTATGCCAGGCAACGTGCTCGTGTGTTGTCGGAAGCCTCTACTACCAACCGGCAGCGTGATCCAACCATGCTCAAAAAGTGTTGCAGTGCCCCTTTAAGCTATGTCTGTCTGTGAACTTATACATATATCTTGTGCACCACTTCGTGACATTTCGCTCAATAAAAAACAACGCAATCACTTCTTGTGCGCCTGCTTCGCATAACATCGATTCCGAAGGTACGCGAGATTTTTTTGATTGATATGTGGGGTTTAACGTCCCAAAACCACTATATGATTATGAGAGACGCCGTAGTGGAGGGCTCCGGAAATTTAGACCACCTGGTGTTCTTTAACGCGCACCCAAATCTGAGCACACGGGCCTACAACATTTCCGCCTTTATCGGAAATGCAGCCGCCACAGCCGGGATTCGATCCCGCGACCTACGGGTCAGCAGCCGAGTACCTTAGCCACTAGACCTCCGCGGCGGGGCACATTTGCCGAAGGAACTATCGACATTCACTGTACCGTTACTTCTGAATCACCGATCCAAGGTCACGTCGGGCCTGCTGTCTGTGTTGGACACGCTGCACGACTGGGTGCGCGAAACGCCTCCCGTGGACCAGCCGCAGCGGTTCGGCAACACGGCCTTCCGCACGTGGCTGGGCCGGGTGAAGGGCGAGAGCCGACGACTGCTGCGCGACGCCCTGCCGGCCAGGTACGGGTCCGCGCTGGTCGAGCTCGTCCCTTACTTCGACGACAGCTTCGGCAACTCCACGCGCATCGACTACGGCACGGGCCACGAGATGAGCTTCGCCATGTTCCTCTGCTGTCTGTTCAAGATCAGAGCGTGGGCCGAGGATGACTCGGCCGCCGTGGTCCTGACCGTCTTCCAGAGGTTGGTGGGCACGCATTCCTATGT